ATGTGCTTGAATGTATGTATGTATGTGTGTGTGTGCATGTGAGTGAGTGAGTGGATGAGTTAGTAGTATGTATGTGTAATTGTTTGTATTTATTCATTTGAATAAATTCTTTAGCAATCTTTTTATTTGTGTTATGTAATAATGTTCATTTCTTCCAGTTGTAAGTTGTTATAAACTCAAAACACTGGTACATAAGTTTTTGATGAACTCAAATAACGAGAGATCTGTGTGTTTCATTGCTTTTCATGGATGTTTTTGTTTTGAATCTATGTTTCATTTCAATTATTGCGGAAAGTATTTTTTTTATATTTAAACAACTTAAATATAAAAGCTGATTCAAATTTTCTTTATACTTTGATTTCGGTGGTAAAAAAAACTGTGATTGAATAATTGCATAATAAAAAATATAGATTTGTTTTATTCTCATTTAATAGCATTAAAATTTATCATTTCATATTTTGAGTTTTACCATTATTGAAAAACCACCTTTGAATCCAGATGATCCAACCAACTCTCATCCAATTACCAATAGCAACTTATCCGCTGTTTCTAAGATACTTGAGCGTCTCCTGCAAGCATCTAATAACTGATTATAATTCCTCAAAACTTCAATCTATTTATCGCTGCCACCATTCGCCAACGACGTCTTCAGAGCAGGCCTGGCCTGATGGGAAGTTTGCAATCATGTTGGAGCTTCATCTATTCGGCGTGATAAGTTTTTCAAGCCCTTGACATAAAAAACTTTCAGTTTTTTAACCACTTTCAGTTTTTTTAATCATTTTCAGTTTTTTAACCATTTTCAGTTTTTTTAACCACTTTCAGTTTTTTTAACCAACTAGACGAGCAGCAGAGTTAAAAGCTTTACTTAAAGGATAGAGTATAGAGTCAGGAAGACCATAGTAGAGCGAGTTACAATAATCAATCCTAGATAAGACTAACGAAGTAACAAGAAGGAGAAGAGTAGGATCATCAAGAAAAGGCAAAAGTTTTTTTATTCTACGTAGATGAAAGTAAGAGCTTCTAGCAACACTATTAATCTGAGAAGAGAGAGACATAGTAGAATCAAAGATAAAATCTAGACTACGAAACTTATGAGAGACATCAAGAGTCTTAGAATCAGGTAAGATAATAGGAGGAATAGTAATTGAGTGTTTAGATTTATTAAAACAAATTAATTCAAACTTAGAAGGATTAAGTTTAAGACACATAGAGTCAGACCAAGCGATAATCGAAGAAAGACATAGAGATAAATTATGAAGAACACTATTGAGATTAGATGGAGGAAAAGAAGTATAAATATAAGAATCATCAGCATATAGTTGACTAGAGAAAGAAAAGTTAAGTTGACTAGAGAAAGAAAAGTTATTAATAATACGAGGTAGTTCAGAAGTATAGAGTATAAATAGAAGAGGGCCAAGGATAGAACCCTGAGGTATCCCGAAAGTAAGAGTAGAGGAGTTAGAAGTAGAATTATTGAGAACAACAGAAGAAAAACGATTACAGAGATAAGAAGAAAACCAAGATAGACAAGAATCAGTAATATTAAAAGAAAGATGCAGCAGTCTCAAGAGAATAGTATGGTCAACAGTATCAAAAGCTGAAGAAAAGTCAAGAGCAAGAAGAAGAGTTAGATTACTATTGTCACTAGAGAGAAGGATATTATTGTGTATTTTAAGTAAAGAAGTTTCAGTACTGTGAGCAGGTCTGAAACCAGATTGAGATACAGGTAGCATAGAGTTAAAGTCTAAATAGGATGAGAGTTGATTAAAAACAACTTAATTAATAATTACATAGAATTAATAAAATGCAGTTACACTCAATCCGTTGTAGTCAGCTATTGAAACTCTCAAAAACTTCAAACTTTTCCTTTTCAAACTAAGCAGTTTTTATTTGAGCGATTATGTTAGCTAAGTTAAGCAATGTTAATACTCGGTTAATTTAAAATGAGTTGAATTCCTCCAACACTGACTTCGACACGGGCACAGAGTAATTGAATACACGTGAACCAACCGATTATGAAGAGTTTGTGCTTGACTGGCATGGAGGGGATCTCATCGCATCTCCGATCGAAACTGCCTCACCTTCATTTTCATCCCACGAGAATGACTTGAAATTAATTTTTCATTCATTAACTCATGTAGTTGTTGAATTTTCGAAATAATAAACTTTTAACTTTCAAAATAGTTCTAAAACAAATAAATACATTATAAATAAACGAATGAGTGAATAAGTATTATTTATATGCGGCTTAATGGAGAGACAACAAAGGGCACACTAAAACATTTAAATAGCGCACTATCAAACACACATTCATCCATCCATCCATCCATCCGTCCATCCATCCATCCATCCATCCATCCATCCATCCATCCATCCATCCATTTGTCCATTAGTATACAGATCATTCATCAACTGAGTTGATCCTCTTAAAAAATTTAACTTTCAACTTGCAAGTAGAGAGCAGCGCGAATATATGAATAATAAATTGAACATTGGAAGATAAATAGTCATATTTTTAAACTGTCTTGTTAAACGTTCATTAATTATTTTTTTATTACCAACAACAGCTGTCTGACTTACTTGTGTGCATTAGTTGCCGAATGGTGATCGTCGTCGTCGTCATCATCATCATCATCATCATCTTTGCCAGCATCAGTATCATCATCATCATCCCCAACATCATCTTCGCCATCTTCACCATCATCATCTTCTTAATCATTATCCTCCTCCTCCTCATCATCATCATAGTATGTATGCGAACATTTGCATACATTTTTACGAACAATGCAAACATCCAACTTTATATTAATATAAAATAAATTTGACAAACATACTTACATAACACATTTATCTACATACACAGATACTTACACAGATACTAACAACAATACCAACACAGTTACATACACGAACATTTTCACAGAAACCTACACAGATAGAAACCTTTATTGGGCGGATTAAAGTAATAGAGAAGTACTTTTTGCAAAAAGTAACATAGATTCTAACTCAGTTACCTAATTAGATACATACATAGATACCTATCCAGCCAACGTACTTACTTAAGCACACCAATACATATCTATCTCCACAGATACCAAAACAGATACTAAAACAGATATCTTTTCAGATATCTTCACAGATATCAACGGAAATACATGCACGAATACCTCTCCGCCTATCAATAAAAATATCGGCATAGATAGACACTCACACAGATGTCAATATAGATAGCAGCAGACAGATACTTACACAGATATTAACGCAAATACACGCATACACAAATTCGATGAGATACATTTCTCTAGTTAATTTACGGGCATTTAACTTATTTATTGCAGCACTCACTTAACGTGATGGTTGTTAGGACATATGTCCTGTTTAGGATAAATATTGCCAGAGAAGAAACGCTCCTCGCTTTATTTATTTGCCGATTTGTTGATTTTCAGTAATGTGCTAATAGGTAATGCATCAACTTTTTTTTATTCCGCCATCCCTATCTAACATCTTCTCACTCATAACTGACTGTTGCACATATGTTCCATATCGACTTTAAAAAATTTATAAGTCTATTCCTTGTTTTACATTCATTGTGTACGTAAATATTTTTATACTGAATTTAACTCTAAAGTTATATTTGTAATAAATAACAATCATAAAAGCTAAAGCGAAAATTTTTATTAAAAATTTACAAAAAGGTTACTTCTTCATAAACGCTTTCAGTCTGTTACGTCTCATCTTTCCCAATAAATATCACACATACACAACGCAAGTATTCACGCAGATATTTACATGCATCTTTATGTTTATATATAAAAATATAAAAATATATATATATTTATATATATATATTTATATCAAATAAACGTATGTGTATATATAGGTAGGTTGGTAGGACTGTCGACAGATGGAAGACATCATGGTATGGATGTATGATGTAAGCACGTGGGAAGATGATGTAACCTCCGACCATCCACCAGCCATCATTCTTACAAATACAAGTTGTTTCTTGCTCTTACAATATAAAAAAATGTTGAATGAGCTTACAATTAAAAGAACTTTATTGGCATATTTCCATTTGTTTGTTCATTTATTCATTTAATTATGTATTTACATTCATGACAAAAATAGATAAGATGCAAAAACATAATTTTGTCAGTTCTCTTTGAGCTATTATGTTAATTTTTAACATGAAATATAATAAAATAATGCAAGAAGAATTTACGGTTTCTATATGGAGGAGGGCCTGCTAACGATTGATGATGATGTTTTGTAATGGCTGATGACCATCAAGCTCACCTGATCACCATCAACTTGCAAGGGTGGGTCTGGACAATTTAGGTAGACGTTTAACGGGGGACCAAAAACTGGAAATATTTGGTGACCTCATTTTAGGCTCATAACACAATTCTGTCAATTTTCCTCTTTAAGCGGTTTTTTCGTTTATAAAAAGCAATTGAACGGTATATGTGGGCTAAATTTTCACGGCACATTCATTGAGAACCTTCCCGATCGAGGCTCTTGAATGTTTCTAAAATGAAGAGTCCTTGCCAACGGTGGTGGTTCGTGATGGCTGATGACAGTTGAGGATCTTCAATTTTCACTTGTGAATTAATATCACTGTTTGCTCCTGCATGTATTTATGAAAAATACAATTCTGGGGCAATGACAATGGTATGACAACATTTTCCACTTGCAAAATACAAGTTGAAATTATTTTTTTTAATTTAAAAAACAAACGAGTTTCCTAAAAATGAACTCGTGCGCGTCATCACGCCTTTGTAAACATTTGCACTTAAAAACATTCAAATACGAACGAGCCTGGTAATTTATTTACACACGCTTGTTGGTTTGTTTTTAAATTTGTAATATTAACCTTTAACCTTTTTGTCTACAATATTTCAAATTTGAGTTAAAACATTTCATATTTTCAATAGCAGTGTTTTATTGTTTTCTTCCTGGAAACGAACGGTTTCTTTACAGTTGTTAACAGTTCGGAAACAATGGAATCTGATTGCAGAACAAACCAGACGTTAAACATGCAAGCAAAAGATGCTGAAAATGCCCAAATTAGTGCTGTTGAATGTGTTGCTTCAGATAACCACCACCACCACCACAACATTATTGAATGTGATCTAACAGATGACCACTACCACAAAATCGTTGAATGTGGTCCCACAGATTACCACGACAACAACACTGGCGAAAGTCGTTTGACGGAAAACCATCACCGCCACAAAATTGTTGAATGTGGTTTTACAGATGACCAACAACACAACACTGTTGAATGTGGTTTTACAGATGACCAACAACACAACACTGTTGAATGTGGTTTTACAGATGACCAACAACACAACACTGTTGAATGTGGGCTTTCAGATGAGTGCCACCGTAAGCAAAACATTGATGAATGTGGTACTTCAGGTGACCACTACCACAACATTCGGGAGTGTTCTCAGACAGATGACCGTTACCGGCAGGAAGCTGTTGAATGTGCTCTGACATCAAACAGTCCTGCAGATGAGGCACAAGGTGTAGCAACTCAAACAAGAATGCCGACAGATGGGTCGACAATGCCGATGAATGATTCAATGATGTTGATAAACAACTCAAACATGCCGGCAGTGGACGCGGAGGCAGCTTCAGAGGCCACTTTTACGGGAGACGAACCATTCATCAATAAGCTAAAAGGTTTCATTGAAACCCGAGAAAATGATGGAAAATCTTATGTAGAAATAATCAACGAATTGATTGATCCCAATAATTTCTCTCTAGCTAACCTGCCACCTGGCGATAAGGAAATAATTAATAATTTGCAAAACCAACTCGGTGGCGCAGTACAAGATTTGAAGGCGGGAATATGCAGCTACCTCGCCCTACAGAGGCACAAGGAGTGTCTGCTGCAAAAGTGCAAGTGTGCGATGGGGGGTAAAAAGTTGAAAGAGTTAGAACAAGAAGTGTTTGAGAACCAGCCTGAGTTAATGGAAGTCTTTGAGAAAGTTGGTCCCAAGTTATGTTTTTACTTGTGATGAAGTTTTGGTCTGTTGTTAAACTTTACAAATTATTTAAAATAACCCAATAATAGTGGCAAAAATATAGTTTGAAAAATATAATGAAAAATATAAATAAAAAATTAATTAAAATACTGATAATTTTATCATTTAAATTAAATTTAATCGTTTCAAAGTTTTATTTAAAAGTTTAATAAACTATAACAAAAACTACTTTTGTAATCACTCCACAAACAATCGATGCATACAGATCACAAAATCTAGGAGAGCTCCAAAAATGGACAAAAGTGTTGCCGACGATGAGGCTGATGAGGCTGAGAAGGATAAAAATTATGAGAAAAATAAAGAAGAGTTAAATGATGAAGATGATGATGAAGATGATGAAGATGATGATGACGATGAAAAGGTAGAAAGTGAAATATTGGAAATGATCAACCAGCTTGAACTGCTGAAACAGCACGTAAAAGTGGCAGAAACGTTGGCGCGCAAGAAATACATGTACCAAACAGCTAGCGAATAACAACATTCAACAAATAACAATCCACTAACAATATAATCAATAAAAATAATTATTCATTAACAACAATCAACAAAAACAACAATAAGGAATGTTAACAACAGTTAATCTACACAATATAACTTTTATTTTTTCTTATTATATACTATCAAAAACGACATTCATAAATTGAAATTAGCAGCTAAACAGACAAACAAAAACCATTAAAACCGAAATGAGAAAAATGCAATTTGAATGCAATTTTACCGTTTAAAATTATTGTGTATTTATTATTCATTTTTTTCACAGTGTTCTTAAAGTATTTTACTGACATTGTTCTTTCATTATTAATTGCTAGTTGGTTCCACAACTTGATTCTTCTCACCATCCAGTTCGATCAGTTGAAACTAGATCCAAAAATATTGGATATGGAAAAAAGTTGGATGACCGAAGAAAGGGGGATTTTTTTCAAATTTTTATACGAAATTTTTTTTATGTTCACCGAGGGGACAAACTTTTTGACGGAGTGGCCAACCTTTGTGTGGTCAAATGTGGTCAAAATGTGGTCAAAATGTCTCTTACCATCTTTTTGAGAACCTGTAATATCCATTTTTTCTTTGATAGCACTACCTTCTTCGTTAAAACAAGGATTTTTATTAACTTTTAACATAAATAACGCTCACAGTGGCGGTTTTAGGGGGCCGGCCCCTAGATCCGCCACGGATGGAACGCATGCAAAAATATGCCAAGGATCTGTGATACTCTCACAAATGATGCCTGTTTAAGAAAATAAAGTTTTTATTTGTAAAAATATTGTCAAGGATAGATGAGCATAATTTAGAGATTCTAGTAGGTAGATTAACGAACAGATGTAAACCAAGATATTTAGCAAATTAGGGGGAAGAGAATATGTTGATGGCCAAAATAATTTTAATATTATCTGAAATAAGAATTTGTAGTGGTTACTAAGGTTTAAAATGTTTAACAAAAAACACGCAGCCGATAACATAGATTTTGAATGGTTACTAAGGTTTTGAAACATGAAGACATGCAGACGATAAAAATCATGGAACATTTTGTTTTCAAGCTTCTGCTAAACTATTTGACAAACAACAATCTAATGCCTTTGCGTCAATCAGGTTATAGGTGGTTTCGATTAACAGAAACTACACTACTGCATGTCCTATCAAGTTTGTTCGCTGCTACAGACGCTCAGAACATATCATTACTATCGTTTCTGAACATGTCACCGGCGTTTTTTCTTATCAAGGTTGCGTCATAATTATGGCATAACAGATAATGCGCATAAATGGTTCAGATCGTACTTGTCAAATCGCACACAACAGGTTTGATTTAAAAATTTACTATCTGAAATTTCAATAACTGCATCAGAAATACTTCAAGGCTCAGTTTTGGGGCTCGTCCTCTTTTTTCTGTACACGTCGGACATTACCAAAATAATCAGCTCTTATGGCTTTGTCAGCCGTGCGTTTGCTGATGATATTCAGGTGCTGGTCACTAGTCCTCCGAGTTTATTCAAGTTTGAGATTGACAGATTTATTTGGCGTTTATCAGATATCAGGGCCGTAGGATGTTATCCAACTCGCTGGAGCTAAACGAATGCAAAACTCAATTGTTTCCAGTTAGAACATGGCAGCAGTTGTCAAAAATTGATTTCAGCTCTATTAAAATAAAAGTTGTTGGTATATCATTTATCAAAACAGCTTCCAACTTAAGTGGATAACTAATTGTCAATGAAAGACTGTATCAAAAAGATTTGTGCCTCAAATGTTATCTACCTCAGAAGCATGTATCGAATCAGGCAATCACTAGATAGATCAACATTGGAAACGTTGGTCCACGCTCTAATTACATTTTGTTTAGATTATCACAGTAGCTTGTTTTATAAACTACCAGACACATCAATCACAACCCTTCAGTCAGTATAAAATAGAGCTGCGAAGTTTGTTATTGGTGGCCTAAGATTTGATCATATGACACCGATCTTTAACGAGCTTTACTGGCTGACGATAAATAAATATTCTTCAAAATTGCAGCTTTTACGCTGAAATCATTGAATGGTATGTCACCAAAATATATGACAAGTAAATTTGCCAAAAATCAACCTACATCAACTTTTCATCTTAGGTCGGATGATCTAAATTTGCGTTCTGTGCCAGTTACACGTTTGCAAATTGGTTCAAGAGACATTGCAGTTGCTGCTCCTGCTGTTCGGAATAGGTTTACACTGGCTGTGGAAAGATCTGTACTTTCATTGGAATTATTTAAAAAAGAAATAAAAACATTTTTTTTATGTTTAACTGAGAAAATGATGACTCACACCATAGAGGTTTAATTATTTTTTTCCGATCACTTTTTAGATATAAAAAGATCACTTTGTCACTGGTTACTGCTTTTGAGGTTCTGGCGGTGAAACGTAAAATTAATAAATTAGATTATATCATACTGGCAATTTACAGACCTGGATCCGAACAACTAACGACATCATTTTTTGATGAACTGATTTCGGTCTTAGAATGTGTTACGTATTTTGTTATCGGGAGATTTCAACATTCACATAGAGAGGTCGAACAATCCCAATGTTGTTAATTTATGTGAAATATTTGAAATGTTCCAGTTGATCAACCACATAAATGAACCAAAGCATATTCTAGGAGGAACGCTCGATCTGATTGTGGCGTCAGATAATATAGCGGTCAATGAAGTTAAGGTTTATCCTAGTGGAAGATTGACCCGACTCGGAATCGTTTTGATGAGAAAGTTTTTGCTGAGCAAGTACTTAAGTCTCATGTTTCCGAACCGTGTAAAACTGATGATGTAAATGCAGAATTTGATTTTTCCAGTGACGAATTAAAGAAAATTGTTGATAGGGATGTTCCTCTTGTACTGGTGCTGCCTGGGCGCTATCATGTTGCACCGTGGTTTGATGAGGATTACAAGGCTTCAAAACGGTAATGTAGAAAAAAGAAAAGATTTTTAGAAATAGTCATAAATTGCCTGATAAAGACAAATGGGTAATGGCCCTTAAAATAAAAACTGAAATTTATTCAAACAAACGTAAAATATTTAAAAAAGATGTCTATGAAAACAGTAATACTCCAAAAAGCTTGTGGAGGGTGGTTAATAAAATTTTTCTAAAATGTCACTGTGAAGGCACTAAACGCAAATTTAATGATGTCAATGCTGATCAGTTCATGACTCTTTTTAATGAAAAAATTAAAATAATAAAACAGGGGATTGAGACTGAAAATCAGTCATGTCTAAACAGTGATGATCATGGATGTCAGCAGATGTTTTCGACTTTTCTGGCAGTGTCTAAGGCTGATGTCTGGAAAGAAGTGCTTCATTTACCTACAAAGTCCTGTCAACTGGATATTTTACTAACGCATTTCTTTAAAAAACATTTTGAATAGTTCTGTCCATTTATAACTAGTCTGATAAATTTGTGCATGAGGGTAGGTTGCTTCCCTACATGCAATTGTTGTGCCGTTGTTGAGAAAAAGTGATGCAGATCCAAGTGATTTCAATAATTATCGACCAATCAGTAATCTGTCATTACTATCAAAACTCATTGAAAGAATGGTGTCGAGACAATTGCTTGCTCATTTGAATAATAATAATCCCATGCCTGCATATCAATCCAGTTTTAGACGATTTCACTCCACTGAAGCTGCTCTGCTACATGTTCTCTCAAGGGTTTATCCTGAGATGGATGCTCAAAACATTTCCTTGTTGGCATTTTTGGACATGAGCTCGGTCTTCGACTGTGTCAATCATTAAATGTTACTGCTCAGGCTGCATCAAAGTTTTGGAATATCTGGGGAGATAATAAATCGGCTCAGAAGCTACTTGATTGGCCAAACACAGCAGGTTTCGTTCAACGGGAGTTTGTCCTACGTCAGTGTGGTTCGCTCTGGTGTGCCGCAGGGATCTGTTTTGGGTCCTTTATTGTTTCTGCTCTATGCATCTGATGTGTTGAAGACAATTGATTCATATGATTTTAAAAGCCTATGCATATGACATTCAAATTATGTTATCAGGTAAACCAAAGTTATTTCAATACGAGATTCATTGAATGTACGTTAATGTCTATTTAATTTATAAATCTTTTCATCTATTATCTGTTTTTATTATTCTATTATGCTAGATTTGAAATTGATTGTTTTATTTTTTCGTTGACTTCGTTAAACTAAGTATTTTTTTTAGTTTGCTTGATTAAATTAGTACTGCAATTTATTCTATTTGTCAATTTTAGGATATGAGTTTATTGTTGATATTAACAACCATTCAGTTTCTTATTGATAAATCTATTTGTTCTTCGCACATTTATTTAAGGTAATCAGCATAAGTTTATTCTTAACTTCTTGATTGCCTGAATGTCAAATAAAATTTGGAATAAAAATAATGTCGGAGATTAATCTGTAGATGTCTAAAAATGAATTGAAGCTTAATTAGGGTAAAACAAAATTTATTCCTATTAGTACCTGGCAGCAGTTGGCAGACTTGGGTAGAAATTCCGTTGTTATGAATGATAAAATAATAGATTTATGTGCTTTATAATTGATTCAAACCTAAAAATGAAATCTTATTTAAAAATGATCTTTATATCATGCCTGGCACAAATTAGAAGAATGAAACAAATTCGAGAATCACTTGATAAAGACGCAACGCAGACTCTGGCGCATGCGTTGGTGCTCTCACGCGTCGATTTTTGCAATGGTTTGTTTTATGGACTATCTATCAAAAGATCTATTAAAATTCAGCAATCGATTCAAAACCGTACTGCCTGGATTGTGGCTGGATGTCGATGATATGATCATGCCACACCAATCCTGAATGATTTGCATAGGTTGCCCATAAATAAAAGATTTGTTTTTAAAATCTTTGACACTAAACGGTCTGGCTCCAAAATATTTATCAGATAAACGGAAATTAAAAACGTCGACTGCATCTGGTGTGCGTCTGAGGTCTGACGATTCGAACATTCTTGTGGTTCCTCATAGACAGCTAAAGATTGGTTCACATGATTTTGCAGTGTCAGGCCCTATCATACGGTACGGCTTGCCGTCAGCCCTCAGAATGCCTGGAACGAACATTGCTGAATTAAAAACACGATTAAAGACGTACCTTTTTTAATATAGTTCATTTCTTTTCATTCTTGTTATGTTGATATGAATATTGGTTATAATTTGATAGCGTTTGTGAAAACTACTATAACGAACGCTATAAAATTTTTTTCTCAATAATAATAATACATACATACATACATACATACATACATACATACATACATACATACATACATACATACATACATACATACATACATACATACATACATACATACATACATACATACATACATACATACATACATACATACATGCATACATACATACATACATACATACATACATACATACATACATACATACATAAATACATACATAAATGCATACTTACATACATACATACATACAACATTAGAGGCACTTCGCATCTAAGGTCACTTGAGGTCATCTTGAAACCAGCCTACATCTATCTTCCGCCTCCTTACAATGTTCCTGCGTACGTGTGTGTGCTCATGCATGGTTATGTGTCTGTGTATGTCTGTGTACGAATTTGTGGCTGTGTTTGTGTGCATTTGTGTGTGGTATGTGTATTTGTGTATGTGTAATTAGATATATATATATGTTTGTTGTGTGTGAACATTTGTAATTGTGCCTTTGTTATTAAATGATAAGCAAAATTTCATGAGTTAATTGTAAATATTTCTGTTGTGATTGCCGTTAACAAAATCTGCTGCGAAAAACTAACGTCTGAAATTAAAAACAAATAACAAACGAGCGAACTAATAAAATCCAAACGAAGGCAGAAGGAGTACGAGACGAAGTGTTCAACATTCAAAGGATAAACAATCAAAAAAACAAGCAACATTTTTTGAAAGTTCACAAAAACAAGAGCTCAAAAGTTATAAACAAACACATAAACAAAGCATCACAAGCAGACAAATTCAAACGAATGCACAGGGAAGCAGTTGAAAGAGAGATGTGAGAAAAAAATAGGAAGAACCTAATAGAACAATTACGTCGGTGATTGATCAGGGCAAGGTGACCTCAATGAACTCTCTGACGATTTATATGAATTCCTTGTGGATTTCAACAAACATCGCCCGCCCGCCTCCTTTTCTCCTTCCACGTCTGCCTCCATGCATCCATGCGCCTCTGCATTCATGCACCTCTCCATTTATGCACCTCTCCATCCATGCATTCCATTTTTTGGAGTAAGTGCATTCATGCATTTTTTCTCTATGCATTTCTGCACGCATGTGTCCTACCTTTACCATTATAGTTTTGTTTATTCATTCAATCATTCCTGCACTCATTCATTCTCCTCTTCACATGTTCCTGTTGTATTTTGTTGTGGTGTGGTTGATGAAGCGATTGCTTCCCTCTCAATGCAGCTGCTTCTTCCACTGCTTGTAGCGGTCGTCACGTTTTGTAAAAGTGATTACTATACAATGTTAGTAAAATAATATTACCAATAGACAGCAATTGTCTTTCAACAAAGTGTTATAAAATTTTAGAGAAAACAAATAAACTCACATGCACGTTCACACACATTCACACATACATACATTATACACATGTTATTACAGTACCTATATAAGATGAAACAAATGTATATGCTATATATATATACACATCATTACATATATATTTATTTCAATATATGTGATGTGTATAACATATTTACAATATATATATATATATATATATATATATATATATATCATATATATATATATAACATAATTAATTCATATAAAAGATATTCACCTAAAAATGCACACACATTCACACATGCATCAACATGGAAAGAAGGAAAGAAATTTTAGCATTCTGGCAATGTTCACCATGTTTACCATGTTCACCGTGTTCATGTTCTTCGCCATGTTCACCACGTTTACAATTTTCTCGATGAATCCACATGAGAATTCAACGGAAGATTTTCCATTAAATAAAAATTTTGTTGACAATGATGATGTGATGATGATGATGACAACGATGATGATGATGTTGTTGTAATGATGATGATGACAAGGGTGTTGATGATGATGTTGAATGTGATGCTATTGTGACGACGATGATGGTAATAAGGATGCTGTTATGGTGATGATGAAAATATTATTTATGCTATAATAATAATTTTTGATGGTTAATTGATGTTTATTTTTGTTCATAGATTTTTTAAATCTAAAAATCTTTTTTATTATTAAATTGGTACATGTTTGTGTAACGAGGAATATATTATGAATAATTTTTACGTAAAGCAACTACTGCCATGTGGTTATGTATCAACTTGCCTCGCCCTGATGACATGCAGTCTGTTTTAAATGCGGTGGTCAGTTTGCTTGCCGAGTTTGACTCCACCTCACTCAACATGTGCCAAAAATGAGCTTTACTAGCTTAAAATGCCGGAAATAATTGTCCTCAAACAAGTTCTCTTGGTAAGATATTGTATCAGGCTGAAGAGGCTCCAGGTTATTTGAAAGAGTGACTTCAGCTTGTTTCGCGGATTGTAAACCGGAATCGAATGAGTTCCTCCAACAATGGTGATCTGGTACTTGCAAAGTTGAGTCTTTCTCGTTTTGGAAAAATGAGATTTTCAGTCTCATCAACATAAATCTGGAATGCACTTCCTGCTGATTTGGAGGCATCCTGCAGCATGATTCGACACGCATACAAGAAACTTCTCATCTATCGATTCAGCAAACTCGAACGAAAAAGCGCTCAACAAAATTTTCAACATTATATAAACAATACAATGAACAATTGGACTAATATATTTTTTGTCTTTGAAAAAAGGGATAACAAAGTCAATTACGTTGTGAATACACGTGTATTATGTTTAAAAAAGACAATAACTTATATTATATGGTGTGTAATGTTATCAGGAATGTGATGTTATCAGGAAGGATTGCCTGTTTTTGTATGTTGTTTTTGTATGTTGTTTTTGTATGTTGTTTTTTTCTGTATGGTTGTTTCTGTATGTTTGTTTCTGCATGTTTATTTTGTATGCTTGTTTATGTGTGTCCATTTCTGTGTGTTTGTTTGTGTTTGTTTATGTAAGTTTTTTTGTATGTTCGTTTCTGTTTGTCTGCTTTTGTGTGTTTGTTTATATGTTTGCTTATATATGTTTGTCTCTCCACGTTTGCTTTTGTATGTTTGTTTCTGTATGTTTGTTTTTATATGTTTATTTTTGTATGTTTGGTAATTATGCTTGCGGTTTCAGATGTTTGTGTCGCACGTGCACCTAGCAAGAAGATACAATCAGCAGCAGCACAAATTGATGGAATGCCCGCAAAGAACAAGGCGACAATAAAGCAAACCTCACCTCGGCAAATCAAACGCCATAAAACATAAACAGAAAAAGTGTTATTAAATCTCAAGTAAATGATTTTAGATGTTATTTTTCGATATTAAAATGTTGAAAAGAAAAAACTAAACATCTGAAATAAACTAAATAATGAGGTTTTTCAAACACTTGTGAACAAAACATCTGAGACATTTGAGATGTGTATTTTTAAAATATTTCACAACAGCAAAAATTACCAATCGGCGAACAACAGTAAAAATAAGTAAAGACTTCTACAATGAGCACCAAATTGACAACATTTAGAAAACAAAGCAGTGTCGTCGTACAACACAATAAACATTCAGGCAATCCTACAACGAAAAATAACACTATAACAAACAACAAAATGAATAATAATAATAACAATGAATAATAAAAGTTCATTTTTCATATATTTATTTATATTATATGGATAACCTAAAATTATTCACTTCAGATTATGAAAGTATGAAACAAAATGTTAAAGTCGTTGAACAGTTAAGTAATGACATCAAAATGGAATTCGGCATTGCTAAGCGTGCAACATCGCAGTTCATAGGCAGGAAATAAGTAGTTGATACCGTACTCTCAGATGAAAGAAAAACCAAAAGTTTTGGGGCCAGTAAAGTTTATAAATACCTTGGAGTGGATGATAACTGTTGGATAGAACAGAAAATAGTGAAATCTAAAATCAAGCAAAAACACTACAATAGAAGGAAAAAAATACTAAAAACACAATTAAATAGTAAAATTAACATAACGGCTACCAATGGTTCTGCTGTTTCAGTTTTGGCATATAGTTTTGGCATTTTAAATTGGTTGAAACCATAAATAAAAAAAAATGGGCAGAAAAACTAAGAAGCCATTAACAATTAATAATTTTTATCATCCGAAAGTAGATAAAGGTAGAATATGTATTTCTAGGAAAAATGGTGGAAGAGGATTTATAGAAGTGATGATAGTTTATGAACAATCAATTTTGAAATTATAAGAATATGTTACGAGTAAAAATGATCGATTACTTTGTAAATATGTACAACTAGTTGATGAAATGAAGAAGAAACATTGCAAAAGGAATCAAAAAAATATTTAAAAAATTGAATCAGGCAGCACTGACGAATGAGAAAATTGTAACAAAGTTTAAATATATTAAAAAGAAAGAAGGTCTTATAAAAATTAAAAGCAATCCCCTCCATAGGCAATTTTTCAGAGAACAAGATCAAGTAAGTGCTGACAAATGGTTATCGGTACTATGGCTGAAAAAAGGATGGTTAAAAAGGGAAACCGAAAGCTTAATAATTTCTACCCAAGATCAAACGTTAAATAGAAGAGGATTTAAAGAATGTATTTTAGAAGATGTTGCAGATGTGATGTGTCATGTAGGATGTGTCATAAAACAGACGAACACATTGGACATATTATGGCTGGTTGTTCTGCGCTTGCACCTACTGAATATCTCACTCGGCACAACAAAGTGGCAAATATGGAAAATTTGGAAAATGTGTCAAGAAATTAAATATACAGTGACTGAAAAATACTACCAACACAAACCAGAAAAGATTGTCCAAACGGATGCCGTCACGTTGATGCTGGATTTTACTGTAATAACAGACAGAACATTATTGGCGGGACGATTAGATCTAGTATATTGGAATAAAAATACAATAAAATTATTTTGATTGAGATTTCAGTACCAGAAGATAGAAATGTCATAGCAAAGAAAAATGAAAAATATCTGAAATACCGAGATTTAGAAATTGAAATTTTAAGGATGTGTGGGATAAAATCTAGAACAATACTTGTGGTAGTTGGAGTAATGGGAGTTGTAGGGATGGAGCTGAAAAAAGTCTGAAAGAGATACCTGGAAAAGCTGATATGGTGGAGGTGCAAAAAATTGCACTGTTAGAAACTGAACTGCCCACATCTTGAGGAAAGTACTCGGATGGAGTCCTGAGGTTTCTGGATGAGACTTGGATTCATCTATTATCCCAGCTTTGAAAAGCTGTGTGACTAAAACACAACAAAAAAAAATATTAATAATAATAATATTAATAATAACAAAATGAATAATAATAATTTGTTGAATAACCAACAGAACAATAACAACAACAAGAAGGCATTAGTTGAAAGAATTTCCTTACTTTGAAACTTGCTGAAGCGTTCAAATGACCGAATGAAATGAAAATAAAACACGCACACAAACGCACACACACACACGCACACACACACACACGCATACACGCACACGCACACACACACAAACACGAACAAATATATTTTTATTTTGAAAAATATAGCTATATAACGTTGTTATCAATTTTTTTAGTTTTTAATTTATTTAATACAAAAATTTTTAGTAAAACAATTAAATTTATGATGTCAACTCAAGTGAAAATTTATCACTCTAAAACCAGTACACTAACGCTATTTATGTGTTATTTATGTTTGTGTGTGTTTGCGTGTGTGTGTGTTTTTGTGATTTATGATAATTTCAACTTTAAATAATGTCTCACACAAGGATGATTTATTTAATTATATTATCATTTAGTCGATAAAAAAAATTGAATTCAACTTCAACGCCAGAACATAATTATTACTTCATTTTCGGTTTCGGTAACATGGTACTACATCACATCGCTTCACATCACATCCCATTATTCAATTTCTATTTCTACTAAAAAATACATTTTAAAGAAAGTGAGTGCGCTTTAGCAAGGGCGTACCTAGACAACTTTGACGGAAGGGTCAATCTGGATGGAGGGGCCAATCTGGGTAGAGGGTGGACCAACTTTGGAGCCAAATTTGACAAGGGTGAGTCAAACTTGTCGGAGGGTGGGCCAACATTGACAAGGGTGGGCCAACTTTGACGGAGGATGGGCCAACTTTGACAAAAGGGGGGCAAAACTAAAAATGATTTTTATGAATTGGCTTAAAAATGCAGATAACAAAAAACATGCTGGCGACTGTATCGCTTAAATTTTGTCACTTTTGCTATTCACTGGGTTTCTAATGCCTAGAAAGTACTTAAACAGTACTTATATACCGGCTGAGTTTAAAAACAATGATCAAAAAAAGATTTTTGAATTGGTGATAAATATGCACACTACACGTTTCCAGGTACTCTTTAAAAGTGGCCACAAAAATTCGAAAAGCCACCAAAACTGTCCGTGATCGTTATTAATTTTATTATTTCTGTCATCGTCATTTCTAATCATTATTATCTTCACCATTTATATCCTCATATTCTCGCTTGCTCATAGTAGTCACCTTCGGCAGAACAGACAAATAAACAAGTCGCAAACATGAACATGCACAACAACGCAGTCAACAAATACGACAAAAAGAACAACAATAACAAAATGACAATTTTTTTTAATTCTGTGTAGGAGCACTTGTGAGAATATTATCTAATATGATTATAAAATTATAATGGGCGCTGTATAAACATTTTAAATAAATAAATAAATACTAATAACAATAAAACCAATAATAACAACAAACACGCTAACAACAGCAACGGCAGCAGCAACAACAACGACGACAACAACACGAACAACAACGCAAACAAAAACAAGAACAACATCATTGTTCTTATCGTTTCATCTTTTTTGGCAGCCTGGATGATGGAATAAGATAACATGACAAAGCATCTTCCTCTTTTATGTCCTCATCATCTTCTTCATCCTCTTCATCGTCGTCGCCATCATTTGTTTCAAGTTTTTTCTATTTAATTAATTAAAATAAATAAAATAAAAAAAGTTATAATTTATGTTAAGTTCAACACTGTACAAATTACTTGAGCTACAATACATAGTCTGTATCTAGATTAAATAAATACTTTTTCAATAGAAACTCACAGACACGTCTCGAAAATTTACAAGAATCCATCCTATCCACATTCATTCACCCTGACCATTCCAGTGGCACGCCATCCATCCCCCCATCTTCTGTAACATTAACTTCGGTACTGTCCTTTTGTGATGAATCTACCAGCCGGCAATCTCTTTGCATTCCAGCCTTTTTAATTAATTAAAATAAATTTTCAAATAAATACAGACAGATAAACAGACAAATATGAAAAAGATGAAAGAATGAAATTCAACTCGCAAAGAGTTAAAAAGAAAGACGGCAGATTAATAAATAAAATAAATTAAATACTCTCCCATAAAATTCTTGCATCATCATCATCATCACCACCATTGACGTCATCGTCATCATTATGAAAACATCCATTGTCACGTAAACATTGTTCACTTTACATTTATGTCAACACCATCGTCTACACCATCATCACCACCAACACCACAATCATCTTCTTCATCATCACCGCCACCACCATTATCTTCATCATCACCATCACCATTCTCCTTCTCTTTCGCATCATCAAAACCAGCATCATTGTTACACACACACACACACACACACACACACACACACACACACACACACACACACACACACACACACACACACACACTGAAATACACACAGAAGACAGAAGAGAGCTACCCCCCACATAAAACGACATTCCCTCATAATACGTCTAAATATGTCTGAGATTTCATGCAGAATCGAGCAATCCTCAGAAGCTCTTATCACATCCTTATCCAGCAAACATTTAGGCATGACAGCTTGTCGATCAAAGCAACACTAGCGCAAGTAATAAAACGTTAGCTCCGCCCATCCATCCAATAACCACGCCTACATTCAAAAAGCGCGAATAATAATAGACTGCAATGGTGATGCCGATGCAATGCATGCGTGTATGAATGAATCTTTCCTTTGCTTTTTCGAACATCTTCCTTCTTTCTTTCTGCTTTCTTTCTTTTCTTACCTTTTGCGGGTAAATTTTATTCCTTTATCTTGTTCATATTTGTTTGTTTGTTTGTCTGTCTCTCTGTCTGTCTCTCTGTCTTTCTGTTTGTCTGTTTGTCTGTCTGTCTGTTCGTCTGTCTGTCTGTTTGTTCGTTTGTTTCTGACTCGTGTTCTTTTAACTTTTTGTTATCTTAATGATTATGTTATGTCGTTCTTAACTTTTTGACGTCTCTTATGAAAACAAGCTCTCTAGGAAAATTAATGAAAATTTTACTTTTGATTTCAAGGCACAGCGAAACAGTGTTTTATTTTTGTGTTTGTGTGTGCTGTTCAAAGAATAACACGAGAAATGTTTAGAAACACAACATGAAATAAACAAATTTTTTGTTCTTATTCAATATTAATTGAAACACTCTGCGACAGATAAGATATGATAAAAACTCAATTCAACTTGTTCACAGCTTCCGGTGAGATGAGTATAATAAAAATACATATCATTATTATAGGAAACAAATTTTTGAAACAACAGCCTTTGATTCGAGAAACTTTCAATGAATTGTTAATAATGTTAACATGTTAATAATGTAAACATTTAACGCCACTTATTTAGGTACAAGTTAATTTATTATACATTCTTCAATCACGAGCGTACGAGACATGTGTAGTTGTTAACTGATAATTTTTTAGGTATTGATTTTTTCATAGGATTAAATTGTTTTAATGTTCTTTAATGTTTATTTTTCAGTAAACTCTAAATCTCGACAATTCTAACGTTGTATCTCTATCTGTGTTTTGTTGCTGCATGTGTTTCTGAGTAGGATAATTTTTTACGAGTTTTTATACAAATTTGTATAAATATTTGTATTTGTTTACACTTCCATAATTTCACACACACTCACACACACCACACACACACCATACACACACTCAAATACACCACACATACACACACACACACACACACACACGACGTGTAATGTCTAGTTGTTGTTAATTAATTTGTTCAAAGTAGAAATCATTCGTTCGTGGTTGTGTTAGCCTATTCGCCTAAAACAGGTTTAAAACTTGGGGTCTTCCTTGTCAGAAAGTATTCCTTCCTCGCCTGTTGCATCGACGAACATTCAAACAGTTTAGTGCAAGTTGTTTGTGCCTTCTGTGATGGGCTATTACTTATTGTAACTATAATAATTATATTTGAGAATATTTTTTTCTATACATATCAATAACAACGTCATAGATGAATTGATTGTGAATAGAATAAACATTGGAATGAATGAAGTAAGAAGATGCCAGACGTGTATGTACGTAAGTTTAAGATGGCGCCACTGGAATTACGGGCGAGTTAAATATATACGTCATCAATTAATTTAATCAATCAACAAACCGTTGCCGAGGTTTCGTTGAAGTTAAAACGTTACGTAATTTGAATTAAAACGAGCTTTATCGCTGGTCTGCTGTTGTGTCCTGATTCCTTGTTAAGTATCTCCGTTGTGTGTGTGTGCGTGCGTGCGTGCGTGTGTGTGTTCACAACAAATGTTTGCATATTTGAGTCTGATTTTTTGTCCCCAAATAAATTTGAGAAAAAATGTTATGATATACTATTTTAAAATAAAATTTAAGTTAGAAACAACTTTTAACATAAGGCTAGTTTGTGTAGGACATAATAAGAATAATATAAAAATAAATATGAGATTTACAACTTGAGATAAATATATGAGATAACTATGTGAAATAGACATACTTAAAATGGGCAAAATGCATCAAAGAACTCATCCACTCACTCTAACATAACAGACTTCAGTAAGTTATCCAGCTTTAAAAATACTTTCTAACCACAAACTGTCACAGAGACACAATTTGGGGTAAGAAGTATTTAAAAAATGATTAACTTACTGAGGTCGGTTGTGTTCGAAGGAGTGGTGGATGGCTTCTTTGATGTGAACGCCAAACCACTCATTTTGGGGTTCCTACCGAAGTCTGCTCTGCTGCTAGCAGGCGATCCAAGTTCCATTCATTTAGGATCGTCTTATGGGGATCATAGTAGTGAATTATAATATCAATCATTATAACATAATATAAACAGACACACAAATATTATATGTGGTTATATAATACATACATATATTATATATATATATATATATATATATTTATGTAATAGTATAATGGTATATTCTAAATCCGTTATGACAGCACGCACGCACACGCACGCAAACACGCACGCGCACATGAAGTGAATGGCTAGGATAGGAAGGAGTGAACGTTGAGAGACGGCATCTACAGCATGGCACATATATAAAGCCGGGTCGAATGAAGAAAGTTGAAAGTATCGGACTTGCGAACGTCGGTGAAGTCTCTTTGAATGAGCAGTGAGTGTGCTCTGTCATTTTGTTGGTTTGTTTGCTTTTTTATGCTCAGTTGTTGAGCGGTTCTGAATTTTCTTTTTTCTTATAAACAAAATAAGTTAATTTATTAAAATATTTCAACTAAATTTTTACATGATAAATTAGGATTTGGTTATTTTGGAACATCCCAACTTTTTATGGTCCGTTTGTAATTCGTATTTAGAACGATTTTTTGCACACTTCGCTTTATTTTGTTTTCAAATTAAATCACCAACAATCGAGTTATTTACCGCCAGAGCAAGAATCATGATTCAAATGATAGACATTTATTTTTAATAAACTGCTGCAAGCCTAACGATCTATTGGCAAGATATTACATTTTTGTTGAACATCATCAAGTCAACTTTGAAACTGCACACGTGCATCCCTTCTCCCGCCAACATCATCATCATCATCATCTCTCCTCATGGTTGGTCCGTTCATGGGGTTGCACGAGGTTATCAAGGACCGGTTCCTTATGAAAAACAATTGGGGATTTTGGCCACCTTCCTGTTTTGCAGTCGGCAACTTCAGAAACGGACTTCATTAAACCTTGCTTTCAGAGAATGGACAGCCTCTATGCCGGAACGGATTATTTCAGTAAGGCCATCTGACGTTTACAAATAAGTAAGATATTTTTGTAATAATTTTTCATTGTAAAGTAATTTTTAACATAAAATACTGTAAAGCATTTTTCCAATATCCAGAATTTTTGGCGTGAGGTTTGTGGATGCGAATAAAGGATTTTTCCGCAAGAACTTTGTACGGAAGCTCGACTGAACCGGGTGTACCACGTGACTTGCTTCCTGTGTCACGTGTGCAAGAAAGAGTTGACGACAGGAGATGAGTTGCTCGTCTTGAATGACAACAGACTGCTCTGCAAGGATGACTTTATGCTTCAAAGCAAGTCTCAGCAACATCAACTGTTGAGGTGCAACAACAACACCAGCAACAACAACAACGTCAACAATAGCGCCAACATTATCAACAACATTAACAACAACAACAACAACGTTAACAGCAATATCATTGACAACAACAACAACAATAAAAATAGCAACAAAATAATTTCGACCCACAACTATAGCAGCGACAAGCAGCCAATTTCTCCATTCAACTTCATGATGAAGCACTTCAACAGCGAAGAAAACATCGCCAGCGAAGCAACAAACATCAAAGACAGTCGTGATCAAATGAACAACAATTTAGAGAAAGAAACTCATTTCGGTGATAACAATGGGACGAATATTTTAATATCAATAAACAACAATATTTCAAAACACAAACACAGTCCAACAAACAGCAACATTGTAACAAACAACTTCAGCAACACCAACAACAACCCAACGACGAACATAGCAGGCATCAATGCACTAAACAACGACAACAACAATACTATAAACAACAATATCATTATCAATAGCAGCAGCATCAACAACAAGAAAAACACTTGCGATAGTAACACCAATCCAGATATGACTTGCACCGAGCAGTTGCAGGATGGCTCGAGCGAGAACATGAAGAGTATAAAGGGCGTTATGCAAGGTGGAATTTTTTTTGATTGCTAACATGACGTGGCACTCAGTGAATTATGAATTAATGCCTCAATGTATATAGAGATGTTGCCAACAATAACTTCAAATTAACATTAAAAATAAAATAATAATCATCATCATTGGCATCATCATCCTTCATACTCATACTCATACTCACCCTCCATCGTCATGACTCTTTCATTTCTCGCAAAGCCAGAACATCAGAGCAAAATTGCTTACTGCTGAACAATCAACGAATGCCTCACTAACTTATTAATTTCTGTTTTTTTTTCGTGTGTTCGTTTGGTAAAATGCTTATGCAGGGTTTTAGAAGGTTGGAAATAATGTTCTGATTGGTTGCTGCTGCTGCAAACATTCTCTGTTGAATGCAACAGTTGAACCTACGCAATCACAAGTGCACACGAATGCACACACACAAACATACGTACACAACGACACACACAAGTCTACGCATCATACAAATGCAATCAAAAGTTTACACAGAAGCACACACGCAAACATACGTACAGAACAACGCACACAAACATATGCATACAACAGCACACGCAAATATGCGCACACCGTTTCCAACGTGTTCACGTACACAAGTGCACAGGGCGTACATACATGTAGGTAGAGAGGCAGCTTAAAAAGTAGTCTGATATGCAAATGCCAGATTCAAATCTGAATAAATTAACACATCTCTATGTACAATGTACAATGCATAATGCACCAGGCACCATGTACAATGCATAATGCACCATACACCATGTATAATGCACTTTGCGCTATAAACTGTGCACCTATCAATGTCAAACATCTTTTAAAATGTTTTAAAAATATTTTTATGACAACAATTTAAATAAAAATTTGAACAGAAACGTCTTCAGTTGAAACTTATCCAAACGTGACATCCTCACCATCTCAACAGCAGCAGCAGCAACAGCATCGACATCATCTATCTACAAAAACGTTCAACCATAATATACATCCGACCACTCCGACAAACAACGATTATGAAAAAGAGGCTCTCTACAACAAGGATGACAACAACAATAACACTTTCAACAACACATTCGACAGCAACTTAAATGCAGACAACGACATCCTCAACAACAACAACAACGAAGACGACATTGCTGACGAGATGATTAATGATTCAGATTGCGACAGTGATTCTCTCTACAGCGAGAAAAGTTTCAGCATGGCAGCCAGCAACGGCAACAACTCGAACGTTAACAACAGCAGCGGCAGCAACAAATGCAGCGACCCCTACTCTCCGACCACAACTGACAACGAAATTCTCGGAAGCAGACGACTGAACGGCATGAACTCCATCAACAACGTCCTGTCGGTCAACTGTCCAAGCACAGCTGCAGGAGCTAAACGTCGGGGACCACGAACGACAATCAAAGCCAAACAACTTGAAACGTTGAAAGCAGCGTTTGCAGCTACACCAAAGCCAACAAGACACATCAGAGAACAGCTGGCCAGAGACACTGGACTGAACATGAGAGTCATTCAGGTCAGTTCCCTTTATATGGATGATGTGTGCGACATTGTGGAGTGTCGAGTGACGCTAACGTTTTGACGTCGTATCACAACGACTGCCGTGAAATTGCATAGAAACATACCAGTATTGAAAAATGTAACACAGAACATGTAAATGTACAAACGACAAATTGGCAAACACTGACATTTAAACTTGCGAAGAAATGGCTTGGTTCAAATTGCTTTGATAATAATGTTTTTAAGTTGAGGTGTGTTTTTAAGTTGTCGAGCTCTGGTCTTTAATCGGATGCAAAGGAAATCATATGGCGCTGGTAACCAACAATTTAGAAGCTGGTAGTTGAATTTGTGACTAGTAGAAGAATTACCGACCAACCTATCTGTCTACCTACCTACCTACCTACCTACCTACCTACCTACCTACCTACCTACCTACCTACCTACCTACCTACCTACCTACCTACCTACCTACCTACCTACCTACCTACCTACCTACCTACCTACCTACCTACCTACCTACCTACCTACCTACCTACCTACCTACCTACCTACCTACCTACCTACCTACCTACCTACCTACCTACCTACCTACCTACCTACCTACCTACCTACCTACCTAGCAATTTGTAGCAAATTCTGTGCGTCCAACTTGTTGTACAGAAAAACTAAAAACGTTCGTTCAATGAAGTCCGTTCGTTCTGCCAGGAGATGAAGGAAGAGAGATAATAGAATTTTTAATATTTACATAAATAAACAAAACAAAAGACGCTTCTGAATAACAAACAAATAAACAAATATAAACAATCCTGACATGAACAAACATGTGAACACTAGTGCAAACAATCGTAAACAAACATGTACACAAACAATCAAATGAAAACATACAAATATGCAAACAAACCAACATGTAAACATGCATGTAAACAAATAAACAAACATGCAAACAAACACGAATACAAACAAATAACTAAACAAACAAACAATCACGGAAACAAAGCAAGCACGTAAGCAAACAAACATGTAAACAAACACACAAACAAACAAACTCGCGTCAACTTGCCACTTGCTGCTCCAGCGAATGTTCAGAAACATAAATCATTTATGAGGGGTGGTTGTGATGATGATGGCGACAACTACGATGATGATGATGACTATGATGATGGTGTTGATGATGACGACGACGATGACGACGATGATGATAATGATGACAATGATGATATTTACTATAAGGAAGTTTATTGTGGTCAACATAGAAAATAAATTTTACTGGTACTAATTCTAAAAAACGTTGAAAATGATGTAGGTGACGAGATGATTGAACATGGTGAACATTTTATCGGCTCCACGGTTTTCATCAATAATAATTAGTAATAATTAATAATAATTAGTAATAATTAGTAATTTCGATATGTTGCAATTTATTTTAATGACTAATTTATTCAAACAGTTGAATGATAACTGAATGAAGGTTATTCAACAAATTGATTAGTTAAAATGAATGAAAATAAATTAAAAATTATTTGTGTAGATGGATGGATGGATGGGTGGATGAATGGATGGATGGATAAATAAATGGATGGAATGAGCAAACGGATGGACGGACGGATGGATGTGTTCATTCATCCGCAGTGAAGCGTGTCCTGCACATATCCGTCACGCTTGATTAGTTTGCTCGTTCGTTAGTTTTTATTCACTGTGTAATGCTACCTACATGCACTTCTCCTCCTTTTGTTCTGTTGTCGTTGTTGTTGTTGATGTTTTTGTTGATGATGTTGTTGTTGTTGTTGTTGTTCATATTGTTGTTGTGTTTGTTGTTGTTTGTTGTTGTGTTTGTTGCAGTGTTGTAATATTTTAATGTTGCGTTTGAAGCTTTGTTTTTTGCTGTTTGCTTTTGTTGTGACTTATGTTGTTGCTGGGATTGTTGTTGTAGTTTGTGTTTATTTCAATTTCTATGTTACTTGCTGGCCTGGTTATTGTTACCGTTTTGTTGTTTTTGAAATTGTTATGTGTTCAGTGTGTTTTTAGTTTGGTTTGTTGTTTTCATAAGTTGATATGTTTCTTGTTAACGATGTCTCACTTGTTGTGTTGTTGCTTCTGTTAATGTAGGAATTTTCAAGTTGTTGAAATGTTGATGTCATTGATGTGCTAGCATTATTTTTGTAAAGTTGATATTTTTTATTACATTTAACTGTTTAGCGGTTTAGAAGTTTGAAAAAATTTAGGAAACAAGTCTAATTTCCAACAGTTGTTTTAAACAACAGTTGAATCTTTGAATAAGAAATAAGCGCCCTACTGAAAACAAAGTTAACAGTAGGAATTATCTATTTCCATAAAATATTCTTTTGCTTTCATTTTTCAGTTATAAAAAGTTTGAATAAGCAAAATTTGCAAAAATAAATATTTAAAAATAAAATTGAAGAAATTTTTCTTCGTAACAAGTTGCTGATGACGATGACAGAATGCTTGATGGCTGGGATTAAATAGATCTTCAAAACTTTCAATGTTCTCTCTGTCTCTCACTCCCTTTCTCTTTCTTTCTGTGTTTTTTTGTCTTTGTATATATTTCTAGCTGTCTGTCCATGTTTTTTAACTTATGTTTGTGTGTCAAACGTTTTTTCATGTTTCTTAACAAATGTTTGTGTGTCTATGTATTTGTATCTAGATATCTCTCTATGATCCTCTGTCTGTTTTATGATTTTCTTGTTGTGTCTGTGTTTGTAACTATATGTCTGCTTATGTTTATTTCTGTTTATATATGTATGTTTGTCTTTGTATATGTATCTGTTCATATATCTTAACATGTCTGTCTGTCTTTGTATATGTGTCTAGATTTCTGTCCGATCCATATTTTTCATCATAAGACGTTCAATGGAGTCTGTCCTTTGTCTTGTCTTTACGCTAGAACATGTTTAAATATTAATGTTAATTGTTTATGTGTTTAAGTATGGCTATGTGTTTGCAGTATGTGATGACAATAAAAGGTTTTGTACCATGTTTGCAATGTTGCAGGCGTTTATTATGGGGTATTCGGTGGTGTGCCAAGAATGGCAGGCCCGCAGAGAAGTAGAAGTAGAGTCTTTTGGTACTTTTTCCATGTTTACGTAACTACAGAAAAAAGTTTATACCAAGTAAAACAAAATTTATGGATAAAACTTAGGCAAATTTAGCGACTATTTTGAAGTGGTAGTTTGTATTTTCTAGCAATAATAACTTTTGGGCTTTTAAGATTTTCTATATTTCTACTAAAAAGAGTGTTATAAAAACGTTTTAAAAGAAAAAAGATTTTATTGAATTTAAAAGTGTTTTTGGCGCCCTTTAAGCTCAGCCGCCAGAAACGACGATCGCTTTTTCCCGCTACTCCACTTTACGCCATTTTTTGTTTACATTAGTGAGACTTAACGAATTTACTGCATTTAATTTTTTATGCTTTTGAGAATTTTAAATATTTCTGTGACCCTACAAACTCGCCTCACATCTTCTGCTACTGTTGACAACATATATAATTGAATTGATTTTTGTTTAAATGTAACGCTATGGAAACATCAATGTGGTCGATGATGATGATGCAACGACAATGATACATACAATGCAGTGATATGATTACAATGATGCTTGAATTGATTAAGTGATTTATTTGATCTTCTGTCGTACGTGACTATGAATGACTGAATGACATAAACTTCGTTGAGCAACATGCAACAGGCAACAACATACGATTAACAACACGCAACATGCAGCAGACAACACACAATTTGCAGTATATAATATGCAACATGTAACACACAACATACAACACAACAACGGGCAACTTACAACAAGCAACATGCAATATGCAACATGCAATACACAACATGCAACACACAACAATGTACAATTTTATGGATGCAACATGTGAATAACACGTTGCTATTCTGTGTAACATCTGCTATAACACTAAAAAAATTTACTGTTCAAATAAAGTTAATATTGTTATTAACGTTGTCGTTTTGTTGTAGGGGTATATTGCGCAAAGCATCGTGTTATTATACTGCTGATAGGTGACGTTAACACAAGTCCAGTGCAGTGATGTATTTGTTATGTAAGCCGTCTGTCTGTCTGTCTGTCTGTCTGTCGGTCTGTCTCTGTCTGTCTGCGACTTAATCCGCAACTGCTTGTAATACATTGAAATCAATGAACAAGACCTTTTAAACATTTGCATTGCTTTTGCTTTGCTTACATTACACCTTACATTAATCTAACAAACAAACAAAATTTTTTTATTTTTATTCGAAATCAACTGAAAAAAAAATTCTAGAGGGCGTATGAGACAAAACAGTCTTGGGCTGGCAGGCCACCGTGATAACTTACAAACAAATACAAAATCATTTTGTCAAATAAAAATCCATAAAACACCCTTGAATCAACAGAAATGTGCGTACGACATGTAGCAAATGAATGAACAACAAATAAATGTTCATACAGAGATATACTAAATAGAAGAGTTTGATTCTCAAGCCTTACATAACTTTGTCCCGATGGCCCAATGTTCATAACAATTGGTTTAAACGTTCTCTCGAATTATTTCAAATCAGTGATCATTTTATTTTTAATTGGCTAAGGTTCATCGCAAATGTTTGGAGAAGAATTGTTAATTTTCGGACTGGGCCCAGAGATGTCTGCCAGTTGTTCGACCAGTGGCGATCCTGATCTGCATCTTCATTCGTTCACACCATCTGTGATATTATTTGCGCTTCTTACGTTCGAAGTGAAAACGTTCCCTGTTAAGTGCGATCGAGTGCTTGCGTCCATTTCTTCATCACGTGTGTTTCCCCGCTGCTGTTTCACTTTTACATTACGAATTTCAATTAACACGTTGATAATTAAACTTCTGTACTGACGTGCAAATTAATTAATTAATTAATTAATTAATTAATTAATTAATTAACGGTTCTAATTATATTACCACCGTTATCTAATAAACACGTATTTATGAATTTGTGTATCTTATGTATGCATGCCTATGAACCCTCCCCCCCC